ACTTCTCTGCAATTAGGTAATCTTATCTATGAAAAAAGCAAAATATATTCACCACATTTAGGATATGCTGCCAACATGATATCATCACTTCTGGCTTCAAAGGACTCCAAGGCTCTGAATGTTTCAGGACTACAAAGAGTGGTAGGGTAGAGAATTCCATTGTAAGAAAACAGCAGTTCATCACGACGCATTGTACAGGCAGCCGCTTCTGCCTTTTCTACAAGATCATTAAATTTTTTCCTGGACTTCTCCATTCTGCTTCTGTCTCTCAGACACAAAGGCTCTGACACAGTGTGAAAGGCTATGCAGAAAAAGAAACCCACATGTTGCCTTTTTATACCTGCTGGGTTTGTTGGGGTTTATTATGATTTTTGTTTGTTTGGAGGTTTTTAGACCTTAAGTTAATAATTTACTACTCTTTCTGAACTCTTAGACTCCAAAGAGTAATTTGAATATTTTGAAATCAATAAAAGTTGAATATAAACAAGATAAGCAACCACATGCAATTGTATCCTAGGATAAAGGGCCTATGTAATAAGCCCAAATATCATGCCTGCCACGTGAAAAAGGGCAGATAAGAAGAATTTTCTCTCCATCCTGTATTAATTTTTCTTTTTTGACCATCAATGTCCCACAGGAGAACAAACCCTTTTAATGTCCAAAACACTCTGTGAGCATCTCGCCTAGTGAGACTCTTCTCTTAAGAGAACCCCCATACAAACAGGACATTTGATACCTATTACATAGGGACTGCATTTAGCAGTGGTAGAAAAACCCCTCAGCAGTTTCTCCTGTGAGTTATTTCACTGTTGGTGAAACGGGCAGCAGATTCACTGCAATGGACAGGACTTCTCATACCCTGACATGGGGACAGCACTAAATAGCAATGGAGAACCTTCTCAGTAAAATTCTCTTACAAATTACAAGGCTGCCAGCCCCAGAAACAAAAAAGGACTAACTCTAGCAGATCACAAAATAACTTATATTAATACAAATATATGACAAACTACTGTAGGGCTTGTGCCACCTGTGAGCCTGTTTAACTGCACAATTGCACTTAGCTAATAAAAAAACCCAAAACCAGAAGCACATTCTGCAAAACAACTACCTAAGCCTTAGTACAAAACTCAAGCAACCCCCCTCCACGACAGACCGATTTACAAAGACTAGAACAAAATCTAAACGCACTCGTTAACACAAAGCAAAAAAGAAAGAATATAGCTGCTTCCCACTAACACACATTTTAACTCACTAAGATAAGCAAATGACCACCTCAAAGCAAACCACAAACAATGAGTCAGCAGTAAG